AAGAGTTTGAGCTCTTATTCAAAACTTGCATTCTGATGGCTACACAATTCAATTCCTTTGTCTGGGATCCAATGGACCCATGACAGGCTTGCACAAAAAAGGTAAGGGTTTTTAAGAAAGGGTGTGCAACAGAATATATTCACACCTCTGTTTTGTCAATTGATATAATAGCAAGAGCTTGGAGATATTTTAACAATTTCTTCAAAGCTCGTTTCATCCATTTCTTCAAAATGTTCGACGATTTCTTCTACAGGCTGGAGAAGAAAAGAAGAAAAATACCTAATTGATGACGACGAGAGGATCAAGCTTTTTGATTGTCTTATCACAGCCTCACGAATCTTACTTTGAAAATATTTTTTCTGAAAGTTGTGTGTTGATAGGATTGATTAATTTTCTCAGAATTGTCATTAAATGGATGCTGAGGCAATCTCTTGAAAAAGATTTTCTTTTTTTAATGATGAAGCTTGAAGTGGACATGAGATATTGCTGCTCAAAGATTGCTCCCATATTTATGCGGTTTTTTCATCTTGATGAGATTATAAAAGGAGCAGTCCAGAAAATGTAAGAACACTTTGAAATTACTTTTCCTTCTTTTGCTTTTGAGTAGCCAAAAAGGGGACTTGATTTTGTTTTTACATGCTAACATTTTAGTTTTGAAAAGGTTTGAGTGAAAATTTTTCAATTTAAAGACAGCTCACCTCATTTGACTGAATTAGGCAAAAACGGTGAAATATAAAAAAATTTCTAAGTGGGTCATAAATAATTCAAATCTTCACCCAAACTTGTCAAAAGCTCCTCAAATTCAGCTTAGTACAAAATCATTCTTTGGGCCTGAAGTGAGGGTCTCTGTTGATTGTATTACGAGCCATTTTGGTGTTTTTGACAAAAACTATCTTCCAGCAAAAACTTGTGAATTGTGACTCTAGCGCTGCTTCTTGCTCCTCAGCATTTCTTCTTAAAAATTGCCCAAATGTTTAAATTAAGGTATTTAGCATCGCAATAAAGATCCAGAACAATTATTGGAGAAAAAGAAATCCCAGAAACGAGAATAATTGTCAATGAACTTTGATGAATCGCGTGCAGATGACCTTGAGGCCCTTTAAAATTAGGTTGAAACTTAAAGTTCCGGAACTTTATTCAAAATCGTGAGGTCCCGAATGAGTACTTGAGCGTAGAATCATACATTCATCTTTAAAAAAAGTATTTGTGAAAGAAACTTGATGCAAAAGAGCTAACCTAAGTAAGGCAACCAACTTTCGTAATCCTTTGGAGGTCGCAACCAGAGAAAAGTTATGAATGCTAAGTTTGCTGAATATTTACACGCATGTTTTTCTGCCACGTTGCGATCCTCGACAGGTATTCTCAGGAATTCTACGCCAAAGGCAAGAATTTGAAATTTCTGTCGGCCATATAAAAACATGTTGTGATGGAAACAACCACAGTATATGAAAACTGCAACGAACAAAACGTTAACATAGAAAAACAATTTAGTCCATAATAAAACGTTGCTTGAATTTATTCTTGATTTTAATAGTTTTTTTATTTGAGGACTATTTCATTTCACGCAAAATGGTTTTGTAAAAAGGTTTATAATGTGATGGGCGAATGCCAAAAATTAAAATAAAATATACGGTACATGAAAATATTATTTGAAAATGGAAAATGTTTCTCCACCATGCGAAAATTCCATAATAGGTTATGGTCTTGATTCAATGCGCAGCACTGAATTGAATTTGCAACTTTTCATTCATTTGAAATTGGGAACCCAAAAAATCGTCTATTCTAGCCCCGAAAGACTCTTCAAATCTGAAATGCTGCCCTTGGCCACAAAACTACATACATTTAAACGTGCCCCCTTGGTCACTTCTCAATTGGGCAGCACTGATTTATAAAGACAGCCTGATGGAGTGAAACTACCTGAAGATAAATCTAAAACTCATTTCGCGATAAAATTCGGATCCGTGGGAAATCTTAGTTCCTCTCACGAACCAGGACGTGACAAATAAACGCATTGATTCCTTAAAAAGATATCTCACGACCTGCGAGATAGCGAAAAAAATTGTTATTTATTTGGCAGCTTTCTGGGAATAGTCTCTCCAGATGACAACACATTCGGCTGAGAAGTGGGAATAATTTTCTATGCTCAGACAGCAAGAAGGCACAGCAAAGGAAAGGGGGGCAGAGAAACGAGCTGTTGCTGGGCAACATATAGGACCTCGGACGGCATGAGGAATTGCGACATATTTTACCTGGGAACCCGGGTTCGGAACGGGATTGCGAGGCGACGAAATTGGATTTCATACCGCGTGCTTCTCCATGCTTGTGGACGAGCAGTATTTGCATCTAAGGGGGAGAACTTCCTTTTTTTCATTTTTCGTTCGAGTCTCATTTTCTTTTGCGCATACAGTACACATCAGAGTGTTTCCCAACCTTTTTAGGCCAATAAATACAGAGCAGCAAATTTCCATAACTTTTTTTTTGCGGTCTGGCTCGAAAGTTTCTATACAAAATTTTTGCGGACCAGACAAGTTTCATGAAACGTTTGCAAATACAGTCCCAGCGGAATTTTATTTTAAGAACTTTATGTACCATAAAGTCCTTCAGGGCTCCAGCCAAAAGTTGTATTGCAAAACACAAGCTAATAAGAACCAATGAAGAGCTATTCTGTAATGTCTTCAAAAAATATAACACTTGGCAAAATTGATGCACAAAATACTGTATTTACTCAAGTACCATGCACACATTTTTTCTCTAAATTGAAAGGGAAAAAACGAGGTGCATGTCATAAACGGGTATATATTTCTAAAAAAAAAAACGTTACAAATTTGGGTTTGCATTATGTTCCATTTAAAAAAAATTGGACCAATTTTGATGAGGAAATGTTTTGAAGGAAAAATAATTGTTTTGTGACAGAAACAATTGAAAATTCATTGAATTCAGGATCAATTCATGTCTAAATTGAACTTTTGGAGTCTTTACTTGTTCAAATATTACACTTCTAGATCACAAAAATGGGGTGTATGTCTTACTGGGGGATACAATTTTTTAACGAATTTTGACGGAAAAATCCTGGTGCGCACCTTACTTGAGGGGATTGCGTGGTATTGAAGTAAATAGGGTAATTTTATTTCAGCAGGTACAAATTCACTGGAAGTCTTACTAATAAGGAAAAAAGACAACCTTCATTTACATCAGGTAATTTTTAACCATGATTGTCTTTCCAAAATTTCAGGTAAAGATAACAGACTTATTCATTACTACCTTTCATACATTTATTTACACTAAAGAAAATTTCCTGTAAAAAAAAATTTTTTTGGGAACCACGGCGGTTGCAGACAACTGGTATGAACACAGAATACTGGTATATGTTATTCTCTTCATAGCCTGCTTCCATTTTTGTCGCTTCCGCGTCCTTTATATAGTCGTGCTATTTCCTCGGCGTGAGTAGTTTCTTCCGGTTTTCCGGGGAATTTCACGGAAGGGCCCACCAACCTCTTTTACCCCAAAGCGTTTCCCCATTCACTGTTCCCCCCGCGAAAGTATTTCGGCGAGATTGCCCGCGACATTTCGCGTGCCCTCTTTATTGAATTTCGCGGAATTCCAAAGAAAAAGATTTTTGCAATTCCAGATCGGGGGAGGGGTTCCCAAATTTACCTCATGCGATTTATTCTATTTTTTTCTAGCAGAGAAAATGTGTTACGAATTTCGTCTTCGAAATCTTTTCAGCGAAATAGATTTCGAAAGTTCTTTTTATCTGGGGGAGTTTAGCGTATTATACATTTTTACTTCTCAATTTCATTTACCTGCTTGTGAGTGCTGGTTTCTTGCAGAAAAAAATGCAAACAATTAACTTTTGATAAGAAGCTAAGCATTTTTGCTGCAGTTGATGGCAGCACAAAACAGAGGTGGCAAGTAAATTTGAAATTATGCCAGCAACTTTGTCAACAATTATAAAAAAATGGTCAAAAATAAAAAAATCATATTGTTTGAATTCAAAATGGGACCTCATTGCAAGCATATGCAGACTGCTGCTCATGAAGACCTGGACAAGGATGTGTTTGCTTGGTTTCAAGAAGTGCCATCTATCAACATTCCCGTAAATGGACCATTAATTCAGGAGAAAGCCAGGCAGTTGGCACTTTCATTAGACCTCAAATAATTTTGAGCCAGTGTTGGGTGGCTCAATTGTTTCTGTGATTGATTTTGAATTTCAGCTGAAGTGATCTGTGGGGAAGAATCTGCAGTTCTCACCACAAAAGTGAATGAGTGGCAGATCAGTGAATTTAAAAAAAATTATTGCATCCTACAGCCCTGACAGCATTTTCAATGCAGATGAAATGGGCATTTTTAAAAAGTGGTTACCAAATTGCGCATTGGCTGTTAGAAATGACCCTTCTCATGTTGGCAAAAAATCAAAGCAAACTGACAGTTACTTCTGTTGCAATGCTTCAGATGAGATAGAGAAGTCAAGGCTACTTATTATTGGAAAATCAGCAAAACCCCTTGTTTCAAGAATGTACAAGTGTGCCTGGATGACCACTGCAATTTTTGCTAAATGTCTGAAGCAGGTCAAAAAAGACAGGAAAATTAAACAAGGAAAAACTTGCTCATTTGGGACAAATGCTCTGTCCACAATATTTGTCCTTGCCTAGATAAATGAGCAAGTGGAGTATCTGCCACCAAACTGCACTGCATTTCTTCAGCCTCTGGCATGGGACATCATACATGCCAGCAGCAGTGAAAAATAATTTGTTCACAAGAAAATCACTGATTTTTTCAAACAATAATTTGAGTTCTTAAACTGGAAGAAAAGCCTGATTGTGAAAATATGCAGATCTGAGCTGAACAAAAATTTTCCAGGCATTTATTTTCATAATCTTGTTACAACAATTTATCTGATATAACCAACTTTTTCTGCAGTCCCCAAAAGTTTGTTGTAATGAGATTTTACTGTATAACTTTGATTGAATCAGAATACAATATCCATGAAACTATTTCAGTTGGGCGCAGAGGGTCATAATGCAATAAAAACAAATGCATGTAGCGCATACAAATACAGGTGTGCAATATAAACTAGAGGATGAAAATGCAAAGCTTCTACGACCAGGAACCAGATACAAATTGAACCGTATACAGTTCTTATGCGTCTGTTGAAAACGAGCAAATCGTTGCATCACTCAAGATATAACAGACAGACAAAGCAAACCAAACAACAACCACAAAAATGAAACTGGTTCGTCGAGATTTCGCTAAATTTAGATTTTTTCCTGGGTTTCTTCGAATCCGATTTTCAATCAAGCCGCCTCTGTTCTGCAAAAGTCATTGCTATGGTCATTATTCCTTTGAGTCTTCCGCGGCCTGATTTATGCTTCTTCAAAGCTCTATCATTACTCGATGGCATCATTTTTGAATTTTTTGATTATCCTGTTGATGATATCTGTCGTTGAAATCCCGTCAGCACGCTTTGTCGCCAACATCATATTTGCTTGCTTGTATTTGTGGTACAGATCTGTTCCTCCTGTAGTCACGTACGGAGCGTCGTCGTGGGCCACGAAATCAATCTGTAAATGAAAATAAAATGAACAGCGTAATTTTTTCAATCTAATTTTTGAATGAGCACTTCTATAAATACTGAGGCATATTTTCCTTGAAAAAAATCGATAGCTTAGTATGCATTATAGCACCCAATTGGGTTACGTAAAATTTTAGTTTTGATGGTTTAATATGATACTGCCTCGCGCTTTTTTGTTGTATTTCAGAGTTTCGTTTTGGACAACGATTCCGAGTTTCGCCAGTGTAGTAATAATGTCAACAAAAAGATTGGACGATAAATGTGATAGCCGTGCACGATTTTAAACGATATTTAATAATTCTTGATGTTCTTGAGCTTTTGAGCATTTTTCTGGGCTTTCGCCGGTGGCTGTTCCTCATTTCACGATAATTTTCCAGAAGTATGGTTCATTCAATATTAAATAATGTAAGAAAATTTCGAAAGATTGAAGTATATAGTTCGCTTTTTCAGTCATCTTTAAATTACCCTATGTTCAGGCAATGTTTCGAGAGTCTGGAACTGAATATAGGCATCCCTTTCACATTACTATCACAGAATATGCTTCACATCACATCACACGGTATTGTTGAATGTTTTTGTGCCAAGCAATCGACGTCTGCTTTGGATGAATCAATTCCATTCAGTATGCGTGACACTGATTTATTATTTGAACACCCCGTACCTGCATTTGCTGCATGAATCGTTTGGGTAGCGTGAAAGGCAAGTTGGGACAGACTTCGTCGACATAAGGACAATGCCGTAAAGCCTCGCACCTTTGCTGCTCCGATTGCACTGGAACACGTTTCATCTTTTTGCATTCCTCGTCATTGTGAACTGATAAAGATTTAAAAAAAGTTTTATTCTCTTGTGTTTTGTTTTGGCCAATGAACGCTTTGTGAATCAATGCGACATTTAGTTTCATCCGCAGTGTTTACTTACAAATGTCTGTGCATTTTTCAGCGATGATAGCTACATAATTTAATCAGTAACCCCTTCACATTAGTCCTAAAAAAATAATCTCAAGAAGTTGTTGCATGAATTCAATGCAACCTTTTGTCCGCCTACAAGCGTGTATTGGAAATGTGCTTTTTGTTCAAGTTACTCAGTGAAAAGTTGTCTGGCCACAAAAAAATATATTCATTGATGGTCATGATGAAATCAGATATCCAGGGCATTGTATTGTGGAAAATTGCATTGCCTTTCCTTCTGTGCTCTCTGAATTATTTTAATTGTATTTTTTGAGAAGCAACTGCAGTTTTAATCTGATATACACTGGTGCTCCAAGTGCACCAGGCTGGTTATTCTGACTTAATCTGTTATGGAATTTGCTATTGTTTTGAATAATGCTGCTTTGGTGAATTTTGCATGTGGAAATTGTGAAATAGAGTCAGTTTTCCTGAAAATGGCATGGAAGCACTTTGTTCATTTTTTCCTTTGATTAAAAGTAACATACAATGCTAAGGTCTCTATAAAGAGAACTTTCAACATATATCGCTTGCAAGCTGTGTAAATGCTCCTACACTTTTTTTTACTTTGAATTGGGAAAATTTGTGGTATTTGTAGATAAAACAAGCTACAAGAGATGGTATACATACAAACTTGAGTACTGAACACATTTTTTCTGCAAATTTCTGGTAGGCATTCTGCTCAAAACACATTCATTATTGACGCTTAAAGAAATAATGTTTTATGGACTGGAATGAGTAAAAAATATCTATATACATTACTGTATATATATATATATATATATATATATATATATATATAGTATTTCACCTCTAATCAAACTAGTCTCAAAATGGGAAACAAGCAGAAATGCATGCTTATGTAGCATGAATTGCACTGAACTGCTATTGTCAGTGAAACTTCCAAATTTTCCTGTCTATTTCCTGGAAAAAAATTATTTTTGTGTCATAAAAAACCTGGCTGTGCAAATTATGCATTGTTACTACACCCTAACCAAATTCCCTTGACTGCAAATATTGAACCACATCCCCCGTAAGGATCCCCCCAGCCTCAGAACCCACTTGCCCAGCAAATAATTTGGGCATTTCAAAATGCGTTTTATACGCATTTCTAGCCAAAAATGCTACGCATTTCAAACCTCTCTATGTGACGCCTACTCGGGATTTTAGTTAATGCATANCTGTTACAATCCCAAAAAACTGATTTCTACAGATTTCCCTTGGTTGTAACAAGCAGGCGTTTTAAAATGCCTTTCTGTTACAATGCTAAAAACTGTTTATTTCAGATTTTCCCTGGTTGTAACACAGAGCGTTTCAAAATGCTCCATGTTACACCCAGGAAAATCTGAAAAAATATAAATTCTTGAGTGTAGCAGGCAGGCGTTTTGAAATGCCTGCCTGCTACACTCAAGAAAAGCTCATCAAAAATGTTTAAAGTATAGGCATAACTACAGAATGCATTAAAAATGCATTCTGAACGCATCTCAGAAAAAACTTTCAGTACAGCAACAAAGAAAAAAAAGAAAGGCGTTTCAGAAGAAGCTGGGCATAACAGTGATACATAACAAATGCATTTTTTAATGCGTAACTGTTATGCGCAGCAATACCTGTAACAAATTATTTGCTGGGTGAACCTTGCGGGAGCAACAACTCTTGCAGGGACTCACCCCTTGCAAAGGGTGGCAAGAGCAAAACTGCAAAGTACAAATGTGTTCCAGTGTTCTTCAAGCCAACCTTTTGTAAGAAATAAAAAGGACAAAGAATTATGACATTGATTATATTTTATATTACACAAAAAAAAGAAAAAGACAAAATGAGTGAAATCTTTACAGAAGTACATCATATCAGTGATGACAAAAACTCAAACAATATGACAAACAAACAAGGCAAGTTAAAAAAAGTCATGAAGACAAAAATTTAATATGACTCCTATTGAATATAGATACAATAGAGGATCCCATCCTAAGCAAACCATTGGAGAAGCTTATGGATTGGGGGCTGTTGCGCAATTTACCTCAAGATGAGGAAAATGTTGCTGTTGGTGCACAGGAAGGTGAAAACGCATTGGCCCATTTTTTAACAGCATTACAGGATTGTGAACCAATCTGTACTCTGGGAAAAATTGCAAAGCAAGTTGTCAAAAAATATATAAAAATGCAATGGCCAGCTGCAACAAAAAAGGCATTGTGGCAGAATACAATAAAATACTGCCACTGGTTGGAAATACCATAGAGGAAATATGCCAAGAATCAACCACCCACTATGGAATACACTCACAAAACCATCAAGAAGTGTAGATGCAACACTGCAAAAAATACAAAATATGCTTATGTGCATCAACAGTGGAATAGTGAAAATGTTCATCAATGAAGGTTTGCCTGAAGCATTGCAAGACACCAAGGGCAACACCTGAAAGGCCCTGGCAGTATCATACATGATGCTTCAGGAAGAAAGGAAAAAGAATGTGCACAACAATGCAAATGAGAATGTCTGCGCAGCATTCCAAAATAATTGGATCCCAACTCAGGGTTTTGGCAAAAGCTGGGTCAATCTATCAGATGGGGATCTTGTCAAAGAAATTGACCAGCTGGTGAAAGCTGATCTGGCGCTAAAACCCGGAAATGCAAAGCAAACTTGGAGAGGGAAATCTCCAAGCATGCGCAGTGGTCACAGTTACAGGTCTAGACCATACCCAATGCCTCAACCCCAAAATAAATTTTAAAATCATTTTTTAGGGGAGGGCCAACAAAAAAAATTTTGGCATCAGAACAAGGAGATGCGTCAGAACACCTTCAGGAGAAGGGGTACCTGGAGGGGCAGAAGAAACTAAATGTCAGTGTGGCACCCAATAATATCATTAGAGGAAGATTTCAATACCACATTAATTTCTGGAGAAGAGAAATAAGGCAGGATCCGTGGATCCTTCAAATGATTTGGGGCGCAAAAGTTGATTTTGATAAAATATCTGATAACAAATTGTTGATATACAATCTCCCAATTAAAAGTGCTGAAGAAAGAGAAGCAACAAAGGAATTAGTGCAAGATCTAGAGAAATACAAAATCATCCAAAGAACTAATTGGCACAAAAAATTAGTGATCAATCCAATTTTGACAATCACAATGGAACTTTCCACCTCATACTTAACAGCAAGGCGAAAAACACAGAGTGTGTACCATATAAACACTTTAAAATGGAAAATTTAAATCTGATCACTCAAGGAATTAACAGAGGAGATCTCATGACATCTCCAGACTTAAAGAAGGGGTATCATAACATGGCACTACACCCAGATCACCAGATATTTTTTTGCTTTCATATGGGAGGAAAAGCATTATATATTTAAAGCACTCCCAATGGGGCTGAGAGAAGCACCCAGACTTTTTACAATCATCATGAAGGCAATCCTTAAAGTAGCTAGGGAACAGGGTTTACATGTACATGCATACATTGATGATACCCTAATAGTGGCACCCACTACAGAACAGTGCCACTCAAATACTGCAAAATTTCATCAGTTGCTATTAGATGCAGGTTTCATAATGAATGCAGAAAAATCCCATTTTCAACCAAGCACAAGGAGAAAACATCTTGGTTTCATTGTAGACAGCAATGAATTATGTCTAGAACTTCAGGAGAAAAAATTCAAAAGATTAAAATCAGACATTGCCCAATTGCAAAAAATATACAATGAGAGACAAAGTATCCCTCTCAGAAAATTTGCACAGATGTCTGGTTTTATCCTAAGCTGCTTACCAGCAATACCATATGGGCATGCCCACTTCAGGTATTCAGAAAGAGTTAAAGAAGATCTCCCACAACCAATTCAGGATTGGGAACAACCAATATATCTCAACAAATGTCTTCAAAGATATAAAATGGTGGGAAAAAATAAAATCTCCCTGTAAAAAATCTTTTGAAGAAAAAATTGTGACCCACAAGATATCCACAGATGCATCCACTTCAGGTGGGTGGGGAGCAATTCTGGGAAACCACAAGATATCAGGCACCTGGAGAGTCACTAATGAAGCTGCCATTGACCTTCTGGAACTGCAAACAGTCAGAATTGCTTTAGAAAATTTACAGGCCAAAGGAATAAATTACAAAAAGGCAAACATTGTTCTAAGAATGGACAACACAACTGCTGTAACATACATAAATAAGGGAGGAGGCATGGTCAAGAGGCTACATGATGAAACAGTAAAACTCTGGGAATTTCTAGAAGCTCAACAAGCATGGGCAAAAGCTATGTATATATTATCCACAGAGAACCCTGCAGATGCACTGACTTGAATACTATCTAGAAATGACACAACCAAACTTGATGCAGAATGGAAACTCAAGGAGGTTTTTTTTCAAAAAAATCCCTGAAGAGTTCCAAATTGATACCAGAAATAGACTGGTTTGCTACTAAACACAATAGACAAATAAAAAACTATTGTTTGTGGTATTTTGAAAAGAATGCAATTTTTACAGATGCTTTCCCACAAGATTGGTCTGTTAATGTCTGGTATTTTTGTCCTCCCTTTGGTCTCCTCAGCAGAGTACTCAGGAAGATACAACAAGAAAAGGCAACAGCAATCCTGGTACATCCAGTATGGCCATCCCAGCCATGGTGGCCAGCAATCACACAAGCCAGAGCACAAACAATAATGTTTAGACAGTCTTGCAGAAGCAATTTTTCTACCTCAGATCCCAACTGCATGCCATCACCTCAGGAAAGCCCAACTACAGGTGTCTCTTATTCTACCAGCAAGCTAGACAAAATTGTTCAGGAAACTATCAAGGCAGCCAGAGCTGAAACAACTCAGAAAGAATATCAAAATATTAACAGTAGATTCAAAAAATGCATCCAGGACAACAGAGAAAATGTACAAAATGTGAATTTCACTATGGTATTGAGATTTTTGGCAAATTGTAAGGCCATCCCGCAG